GTGTTATAGTCAGAATTGCGAGATATAAACGCACAATTGCGTGTTATAGTCAGAATTGCGAGATGTAAACTCACAATTGCGTGTTATAGTTGGAATTGCGAGATGTAAACTCACAATTGCGTGTTATAGCTAGAATTGCGAGCCATAAACTAGCAATAATGACTTTTTTCTCCAGTTTGCGAGTTTATATCTCACAATTCTGACTTTATAACACGCAACTGCATCTTTATTTCACGAAATTATGAGATTTAAAAAAAAGTCTGAATTTTGAGATAAAAAAGTCACAATTACCTTTTTTATTTTTTATTCTGTGGCGGAAACAAGCTTCCATAAAGATCTATACTATAGCTAGTCTCAAATGTACAATCAATCTATCATAACAGTGTAATTTTAAATTGACCTCATCTGTCGACATGATGAATCGCAGAGCTGGTTCAAAAATATCCACATCTCTATGATCAGATGCTTTCTGAACTGATGATTTCTCACCGCTGGCATTTTTGTTGTGTTTATGTTGTTTTTGAAGCTGGCACATATTTACATATTCATCTAGACGTTGCTCTCAGCAACATGGACACCGTTGGGATGTTTGTAAAAAGTTTCGCTGCATGCATGGGCATTTCCATCTTATTTTTACTTCTACGCAAAGAAGAAAAATAACTTCGCTATGAGTAAATAAATACTGGTCTTGAAATACGTTCAGTCTCTTGTACATCACGTGTTCATGAGCAAAAAGCTGCAGTTCACTTTACGGCCAGCGGTGTCACTAATAGCAAGAGTTTCTGAATTGTGTATATCTTTGAATAATATTATCTTTTTGAGAAAAATTTAACATTGCAGCCAATTCTTTATTATAAGACATGTAGGAATTTCTCATTTTTCCAAAATCCAGACGCAGGGCCACTGTTTAAGAAAGAAATGTCCTGTAATGTCATTCTCCCTTCCAAGTGCACTGATTAGCATTTAGCAACACACATTTTTGTTAACGTCTGAACACAGTCAAAACACAACCACACATATTTAGATCTAATGTCAAGGACTAAAAACTGAAATTATGTATACCTTCAACGATGATTAAGAGGCGCACACATTACAATCAAGTAGCAATACTCGTGATATATTAACAAAACTCATAGCATACTAAAAAAAACAAAGATGTGAAGATGCATTTCCAAGAAAGAATATTTTCTCATGCCAACGGTCTGGGAATGGTATGCAAGCCATGGTCACATTCTAGAGTTTCATGTTTTCTATTGCAATGTTTGTCCTCTGGGGCTTATCAGCGACGGATAAGCAGACTCCAAACAAATGAAATATGCATTGTCTTCCAAGGTGCTCAGATGAATGTCAAGCCTTTCTGCAAATGCACACTGTGGAAACACATTGATTTGTATTATTATCTTTGATTGACAAGCCTTCGCACTCGATGTATATAAAACCCTCACAACTACGAACAGCGCTTAGACTAGAGTTGTCGTCGTGCTGAAAAGGCAGAATTTAGAAAGACACATTAAAGCCATCTTCAGAACTGATAGCAATTAGTTCAACAGTTTCTCAAAGGATGAAGAACACAATGTTCTCCTTTGTCTGTGTTCTTGTGTAAAGGTCAGCTGAGAGAGACTTGTGCATGCTTTCATCACAGAAGGGTGGATACTGTAATGGACAGTTGCAGCTCACACAGAACCAGAACACATGAACACGTCACACCAGTCCTCGGGTCTTTATACACTGGCTCCCGGTTACATTTAGGATTGATTATGAAGTATTATTACTGGTCATTCAATGGCCTAGGACCTCAATACATTGCAGATACACCATAAACCCATCAAATCTCTCAGATCATCAGCTAGAAATACCAAGGGTTCAAAACTCACAGCACTTCTGTTTAGCTGCATTTACTGAATGAGCTGTGCCACTGCGTCCGACTGTTTGTTTTATTTTTTTATTCTAAACGGTTTTAATTATTCTTATTTCGTTTGATTATTTTAATTTCTTCTATGTAGACCACTTTGAATTACCATTGTGTATGAAATGTGCTATATAAATAAACTTGCCTTGAATAACATTCATGTTTTTGTGTTTTGTAAGAAGATCCAAACTCTCACAGTCTGAGTCCAGTTTAGTGTCCTACTAACATTGTCAGATGAAAAACAGGCCATTCATCCAGAAAAAATTAAAAGAAGGGGGTTGGTCTTGGAAACTTAAGGGTAGGGTATGGGATTTGCAAAACGGACGGCAGATTTTGAAAATACACAACTCAAAAGGTCCCCCCTTCTTTCCTCCAACGCTGGCCCTGACTCCACCCATTCGAAGGACATGGTCCTTCGAATGCAATGAAGTGTGAATGAAGTGCGAATGAAGTGCTGCAATCATGCGTCTGCAAAACTCGGATGCGCGAGATTGCACTTACTCTCTCTATCTCTATACCGGGGCGACTTGCACTTACTGTGACTGGGTCACGAGCTTTGAGTATGCGCACGAAGGGGACGAGCGCGTGAGGGGGATGGGGGAGGGGCTACGGTACGACCGTTTGATTGACGCATTTTCTGTCCAATGATTCTAGGTGGTCTTGGAAATGATTGGCTGGAGTTTTTCGAGTCCTGCCCGTTCCACAGATGATTAAATTGCTTAATTTGTATTTCAGTGCTTCTAACTCAGTGTCTGTAAGTGGGTTAGGAATAGGATTTCAAGTGATTTTGAAAAAATGGTCAAAAAAGAAAATCACATACCCCACCTTTAATATCCTGATCCAGTTGTTGAACTGAACTGAATTAACATTGAACTGACTCGAGCTGAATAATGACATTAATGTTTTCTAGAAGCTTGTTTACACGGAATAAGGGTTACTGCGATGTTTCAGATTCAGATTCAGATTCAGATTCAGATTCAGATCCAGATCCAGATCCAGATTCAGATTCAGATTCAGATTACTTTATTAGTCCCCAAGGGGGCAATTCAGTTTTACAGCCAACCCATCCATTTAGGGTTAAAGTTAAAAAGTACATTAGCACACAATGTATATAATATAATGGTAAAAAATAATAAAATGCTAAAAAAAAATAAACAATAAATAAGGACTGCAGCAGTCATACATCCCCCTGTATACACACATTTACACATGACCCAACCAGCACACACACACACTCCTATGTTGTTCGTTTAGCAGTCGTATAGCAGAGGGAGTGGTTAGTTTTCCGTATTGGCACATTATCTCACAATTCTGACTTTTTTTTCCACGCAATTGCGAGATATAAACTTATAAAGTCAGAATTGTGAGATATAAACACACAATTGTGTTAAAATGTCAGAAATGTGCGCTGACTTTTTTCTCAAAATTGCAAGTTTACATCACACAATTTCGATCTTATAACTCACAACTGCAGGTTTATATCTTGCAATTCTGAGAAAAAAGTCAGAAGTATGAGTTTATATCTCTTACTCCTGTCACTTTATAACTTATAATACGTTTATTAAAAGAAAAGTCAGAATTGTGAGATAAAAAAGTTGCAGTTACCTTTTTATTTTAATTTTATTTTTGTAGTAGCAGAAACAAGCTTACGTAGGTTTCAGTACAGCTGAACTTGTTTCATAAAGAATGAGCTTTACATTATTGAACAGAACTCCCAACAACTGAAGAATAATGACACTATTGTTTTGCTGCTTTACAGCAGAATTACAGTCTCATATTTTATAACATTTGCATAATTAATTCAGCTATTTTCTTGTTTATTATTGCAAAGCTGCTTTGAAAACATTTCTATTGAAGCACTAAAAAAATAACGGTCACTTGACTTAAATTTGGATACATGGAAAAATATCCGTAATATATTTTAACTACATTAATTTATTAGCTAATGATCTACACTGACAAAAACAACAGATATATATATATATATATATATATATATATTTATATTTTTTCCTGGAGAGATAATTAAAATCATAATGGAGGAGTCAATATATCTCGTTGTTTACAAAAAGAAAAGAAGTTCACAAAGATAAACGGCTATAGGCTCATTTTTACCACGCTCTGTTGGAAACAAAATACGTATGGTTTCATGATCACATTGGAAACTCATGATCAAACTCAACACTAATGGAGAAAATAAAAGCGATCTTTGATAGCCTGAGGCATCCCAAGCTGAGCAGAAAGCAAACAAGAGGCACCCGAAATTAGTTATGGATCTGGGTAATTCGTTAAATTAATAAATACATTATAGGCTCAGTGATATAATACAAAGCAAGCATTATAGACCACGTTAGAGAGGTTATTATTGAGGCATTGTGTGGGAAGAGGCCTGATGACTTTTGGAAAGTCATAACCATTGTATTACTAATCTTGAAAAAATCATCAGGGTCACAAGAAATACCAATCGAATAAGTCAGCTAACATGGAAGATGTGCAATATGATTTACTGAAATCTAAGCTATTTTTGCTATTTCTTCACATGACCAATGGGATTCATTGGGAAATAATGCACTGTTTGTAAACTGTATGAGCAGACTGCACTGACATAGGCTACATTGGTTTATTTAAGTTTTCATTTTGTAGGCATGGTCTATAAACAATTTCTCTTTCCATATTTTCATGTATTTGTTACAGAAACATAGTATTTTGATTAATGTGGGCTATAGTTTCAGTAAACTAGTTCTTTCAACCCACCAGTATTCATCATCGCTATCAGTTTCATCATCAGCAGACAGAGGATGTGTCTGAGGGGATTTTTCACTATAAAGCCATGAAAGGAGGTTTTCAGCAGAAACATGAGTTAGCAGTTGAACAAATAGTCTTTTAAAGAGTTAATTGTGTGGGGTGGTATGCAGGCTGATAGAAGCGCAGCGTTTCGATATTTCACACGAAGTACACTAATCCGGGGATTTTCGAACTCTTTTTGTATTTTTACCTGTGTGTTTGCCTTGAATACCATATTTGGACATGGTAATTACCGGATGGGCGAGGTCACCTGGCTGCTGACGTCAGAGCAGAAATACCTGCTGAAAACCATTTCCTCAATGTGCTCCTGTTGAGAGGTCGGGAAAAACAGCAGCTCTTCACTTATACACTGCGAGAGATTAAAAAGCTGAAGGAGTTTGTGTGGATTTTGGCGTGTCGAATGGCGTGTGTGGGGATTGTGCGATTAGGAGTTATAATTTTTCTCTTTCAGGTAAGTTTTCTTCTCTGGCGTCGAGTTGTGGACCTAAACGGCCGCGCGCTTTTGGACTAACGGCTTCGGTTTATTACAAAATGTTTTATTTTTTGTTGACTTTATTTTTGTAACTAGGTATTTTCGTGTGGATATACGGAGGAGTCGACATGTACACCTGGGTTTGAGTCGGAAACAGTCGTTTTTAAAGTGCACAGAAATCACCTTCACAGGGGGAAAAGACTAGGAAGAGGTTGGTCAATACAAATCTCTTTACAACACTGAAACGTTTTCAAAATGTTATTAAATATTCAAATATAACGCGAAGTACGCTAATTCAGAAATGCTACGTGTGGTTTATGCTAACATTAAATCTGGTCTCACCTCAAGTTTAATTGTGCCTCGAGTTTCGTCAAAAGTCGGTGTAACTTAGTCGCACCTTGTTTTACAGCACTTAATTAATTCAACTATTTCGATTCTTTACCATAGCCTTTTATTAGATCTAGAGACTTTAACAACTTTAAGATATTGGCAAGTTATTACCTTGTTTTTGTTTCCTGGTGTGACAAAGAGCGTATTTATTGGTGAAGGTTAAACTGTTGTTTTTCCTCTGCAACTTAAGGTTGAACACCACAAATGTTGAATTAAATCACATTTTAGTTCTCTCATATGTGAGGTGTTTAGTTCAAGTCTGTATGTGAAATCTCATGCTTCAGTAAACCTGCAGGTGTTGTGAAATTCAGATGATCTCATCCTGAGTTTCTGTGGGAGTGAAACTGGGAGATCTGGGTCAACAAATCATTTAAAATTTAGCCTATCACTTTCTTTTTTTCTTTTCAATCATTGAAATACATAAACCCTGTTATATTTGGTTTTGTCATACCCAGTGCTTTATTAGCCACAATGTTTATTAAGTGTAAACATTCCTATTTAATGCATTGAATCAGGTACTTTCCATGAGAAGTATAACTTTAGTTTCGATTTTATGCCATGGCATTATCTCACAAGCATTGTTTATTAAGTATATTTCTAGAGCAATTTTGTGAGTTAATGCAGCATTATTCTGATTTATTCTTTCATATGAACGAATTTTATTAATTGGATAAAAATTATTGGACATTATCCAGTCTTTGGTTTCATATTGCAATAGATCTAAGTTTACCTCTGTACATCTTGAAAGGAGTTTCCTTTTATTGTCCCACTAATGGTGGCTTATGTCTAAGAGCTGATTGGTTTCACCACTTCCGACCTCTAATGGATGCACTGTTAGCCATTGCAAAACCTCTGTATAACTGGATAGTGGTTGTTTAAATGAATTATGCTGTAGTTTTGGGAAAAGAATAGACAGTAAGCATCATTCTGAAGTTGTATGGCATAAACTAAAGCATGCATGTAAGCTCTACCACATCCAAACAAACATCGAACGTGAATATTGCAAATTGCATTTCTTTTTTTTTAAAATTGTTTTCAGAACTTTTCTTGGTAACACTTTACTTAACGCCCTTATGTGTAATGCATTATAAAAGCATTTTTAATGCAGTAATTCTGCCTTGTAATGCACCCTATAATGCACCCATGTTCTCATGAATAATTGTAGCCACGGTTATAATACATTATACTACATTGAACACGCCTTTAGAAAGAAATGCATGACAAACAACCAATTTCAGATCTGCAAATCTTGTAATGCATTTTAACATTGGTTACAATTATTTATGAAAAGATGTGATGTACGTAATGTATAAATACCTTTATAATGCATTAAGGCCCTTGCACACTGAGTCCAAAATTCGCGTCCGAAATTTCCGCACGTTGTCAATCACGCTTGCACACTGACTCTGAAACTGTCTGTCATTAAACAAATCAGATCGGGTTACATTTTTTGGCGTTTTTCATAGGGGTGTGCAAAAAAATCGATTCACATTTGAATCGCGATTCAATCTTTACCGATTCATAGAATTCCAAAAATCGATTCTTTATTTTTTATGGCGTGCACGGGCGGAGTGGCAATCGGGTGAGTCGGGACTTTTACCGGTGGTTCGGTAGTGTTTCGAGGCTGCGAGGGCCGGTCTGATAAATAGTTACATTGCAAGTTCTTGCCGCCCGCTGGTCAAACTGTGCAGCCTCTCTGCTCAACCCGTGAATAAATGCATCGATCCGCAGATTATGTTTGAGTTCTTAATGGTCTGTAGATCTTTTGCCAAGCGTGTCAGAGGTTACGGGTTCTAAACCGCACTCGTATAGTTTTTTCTCTCTCTCATCAAAGCCGAATATGTTCATCACGTTTGTGTGCATTTTATTTTGAGATTTCACCGGAACCACAACGGCGATATGAAGCGCGCGTCCGAGTGAAGACTGCGCGAGCCACAGAGAACACTGTATCCATGACACATAGCAGCGGACACGAGCGCTGTCAGCGCTCAGCTTGATTTCAAAAACAACAGATCTCTTATTTAATAGCGAACTAAATGAATGCTCTGCTAGTTAACTGGAGATACCCGCAAATTACGCCTATGAACGACTTCACTAGATCTAAACAAATCAATCTAACCATAGATGTTACCAGTAGCGGTGGCTTTTTTAAAATCTATTTAAAATTATTTCGCAAGGGTTCTATGACATTAGTATATTTTTAGGAAGTTCAATGTGCCCAGTCGAGTTCACATTTCAACAGTCAGCCTGGTAGCTGAAGTAGTCCTTAAACCACATTTAGCATAATTGTTTGTTTGATCTGACTACAGCACTTTAAAGCTAAATGTAAAAGCTTTTTATTTAAGTTTTATTTTAAACTTGAATTAAATGTATTTGAAAGCTGGCCAAAGCTTGGCACTTTGCACTTTTTAGTTGCAAAAGTTTTTATTTTTGTATGAAGTCATATAAAGTAATATCAAACTACATTTAATTTGTTGTTTTTTTTTTTCTTTTAAATTGTCTACTGCAATCAATCACATGGAAAAAGTAAACTACATTCATATACTGCGAATCGTTTTTTGAATCGAGAATCGTTTTTGAATCGCATCTTGAGACAAAAAATCGGTATCGAATCGTGACATTTTCTGAATCGTGCACCCCTAGTTTTTCACATCCGTAGAAAGCAGTTCAAATTGTGTTTTGACAATTCAGAGCCACTGAATCATACGAAAAAACGCATAAGAAAATTTCGGACTCAGTGTGCGGGGCCTTTATTCATAAGGGCTTAAGTAAAGTATTACCCTTTTTTTTTGGTCCCGTTCATGAGGCTCTCAAACTCTTTCATGAGACCAGAAATGTATTATAAAGTGGCCGACTGGCTGTTATTACAGTGAATCACTTAATCCTGTGGGTGGTAAAACATGTGGCAACAAGTAGTTTTTGAATGATGAAATGAAAGTTTTGTGAAACGATTGAAGCTTATGTGGAAATATGACTGGTGTATGTATCATATCAGCATATCAATTGATACTATATTACTTTCCTAAAGAAAAGTTCTTTTAAAAAATTTTTTTAATATAAAATCACATTGAAGTCATAGCTTGAGTTTTTTCTGTCTTAAGTTTATGCTCCTTTCCCTCTCTCAGTACCTTTCAGTAATTGTGATGGAAGAACAAGAACGCTCTTCCAGTCCGTTGACAAGCGGTTTGACGTGAACACGGATGGGACCGTAACACTGAAGAGACAAGTGACTCTTCATGAAGGCCACAAGGTGTTTTCTGTGGACGCTTGGGACTCCAGTGGAAAGAAGCACACGGTCTCTGTCAGAGTTGAGCGTGTCCATCATCATCATGAGGACCATCACATGAACACGGTCATGAACATCTCCTCTCCACAGGTACAAACAAGTTCCTACAAGAGTACAGTACAAGCCTGACCTCTATTGGACACTTCAGTGTTTGTGCTACTTTACTATCACACTATCACACTGGGCATATTCAACTAACAAATTCTGTATTTTTTACAAATTATTATTGGAGGCCTGTATTAAATTCATGATTTTCCAAACCTAAAAGATTGCCTAAACTTTAACACTGTTCTATATTCTTAATCTTAAAGGTAATTTAGCCTAATCACAAAATTACCAGTTTTGCATTAAGTGCAGTTAATAATATTGCTTGTTTATTTCTTGGAAATGCACATTTGATAGTTAAGCACTGAGATGAAGATAAAATGAAACTTTTAATTAACAACAGTAACATGCAAAAAGGTTAAAAATAATAATAATAAACCGGGAAAACGGCTTCTGTGATTTATAGGCGCGCGCTTTACTTGCTTTGTGTAATTCAGCAGTTTAAAGGGGTCATGAATCGAGAGATCAAGTTTTTCTTAATCTTTTGACATTAGATTTCATTGTACTAAAATATATCCTGTAAGGTTCAGAAGTACACTTCCTCATTAGTCCAAAAACAGCTTTTATTGTAACCAAACAATGACTTGTTTTGGATTTTGTCACATTATTACGTCAAAACCGTTGCCATCCTTGTGAACCTAACATTAAAGAGTGCTTTCACATCTGTAGTTCGGTTCATTTGGTCCGGACCAAGGGCGAAAAATTATTCTTTGTAGCATTTTTCAGGCGTTTTGGTTCCTTTTCGCACCACACCGATTGCTCTGGTCCGAATCAGTTGATGAAACGACCCAAAATGCAGTCACGTGACCACATCCACATCACTCGTTGGCCAGAAGTGTCTTGAACATATTTCCACAACTGCACTTCGATTGGTCAGAATTAATGTGCGGGAAAATCCGGCTGACATGCGGAGAATTCGCTCAATGTATGTTCAGAATCCGCACAAGCTTTATCCTTTCACAAATCCCCTCATAAACAACAGTCTAGACGCGATATAAATGAGACTCACTGTGCAGTGCGGACAACTGCAGGGTTGATGAGGCGTTTCAGTGAGTGCAGAACGCGGGAGTCAGTCGTGGCTTAAAGAGCACTATTGACAATCTAAATAATAGTTTTGTTTGACTACGGCAGCTGGTTTAGTCCAAAAATGCGCAGTTCTTTGGCAGTCGGGTCTGTTCGAGGTCGGATCACGCTCTCACCACAAACGAACCGCTCCGTTTGAAAGCGTACCGACGCTTGTTTGGTCCGCTTTTGGTGCGCACCCGAGTGTGATCGCTGCATTCACACCGGCCCAAACGAACCGCACCGAGGGGGACAACGAGCTCTAGTGCACCCTAAGAAACCGTGGATGAACTTTATTTTTTAACAAAGTTCCAGTCAGATTGCGTCAGTAGTACAACACTGTTCATTTGTTCGCTTAATTTTAACGCTCTGACATGCCCGCGAGCGGGCATGTCGGAGAATAGCGCGGACACGCGTAAAAAACACACCGCGAGCATGTCGGAGTCGGAGAATAGCGCGGACACGAGCTACACACCGCGAGCGGGCATGTCCGGAGAATAGCGCGGACACGCGTAAAAAACACACCGCGAGCATGTCGGAGAATAGTGCGGACCCGAGTGGGCATGTCGGAGAATAGCGCGGACACGAGCTACACACCGCGAGCGGGCATGTCGGAGAATAGCGCGGACACGCGTAAAAAACACACCGCGAGCATGTCGGAGTCGGAGAATAGCGCGGACACGAGCTACACACCGCGAGCGGGCATGTCCGGAGAATAGCGCGGACACGCGTAAAAAACACACCGCGAGCATGTCGGAGAATAGTGCGGACCCGAGTGGGCATGTCGGAGAATAGCGCGGACACGAGCTACACACCGCGAGCGGGCATGTCCGGAGAATAGCGCGGACACGCGTAAAAAACACACCGCGAGCATGTCGGAGTCGGAGAATAGCGTGGACACGTGCTACACACCGCGAGCGGGCATGTCCGGAGAATAGCGTGGACACGTGCTACACACCGCGAGCGGGCATGTCCGGAGAATAGCGTGGACACGTGCTACACACCGCGAGCGGGCATGTCCGGAGAAAAGCGTGGACACGTGCTACACACCGCGAGCGGGCATGTCCGGAGAATAGCGTGGACACGTGCTACACACCGCGAGCGGGCATGTCCGGAGAATAGCGTGGACACGTGCTACACACCGCGAGCGGGCATGTCCGGAGAATAGCGTGGACACGCGCTACACACCGCGAGCGGGCATGTCCGGAGAATAGCGTGGACACGTGCTACACAACCACGAGCGGGCATGTCCGGAGAATAGCGTGGACACGTGCTACACACCGCGAGCGGGCATGTCCGGAGAATAGCGTGGACACGTGCTACACACCGCGAGCGGGCATGTCCGGAGAATAGCGTGGACACGCGCTACACACCGCGAGCGGGCATGTCCGGAGAATAGCGTGGACACGTGCTACACAACCACGAGCGGGCATGTCCGGAGAATAGCGTGGACACGTGCTACACACCGCGAGCGGGCATGTCCGGAGAATAGCGTGGACACGCACTACACACCGCGAGCGGGCATGTCCGGAGAATAGCGTGGACACGTGCTACACACCGCGAGCGGGCATGTCCGGAGAATAGCGTGGACACGTGCTACACACCGCGAGCGGGCATGTCCGGAGAATAGCGTGGACACGTGCTACACACCGCGAGCGGGCATGTCCGGAGAATAGCGTGGACACGTGCTACACACCGCGAGCGGGCATGTCCGGAGAATAGCGTGGACACGCGCTACACACCGCGAGCGGGCATGTCCGGAGAATAGCGTGGACACGTGCTACACACCGCGAGCGGGCATGTCCGGAGAATAGCGTGGACACGTGCTACACACCGCGAGCGGGCATGTCCGGAGAATAGCGTGGACACGCGCTACACACCGTGAGCGGGCATGTCCGGAGAATAGCGTGGACACAAGCTACACACCGCGAGCGGGCATGTCCGGAGAATAGCGTGGACACAAGCTACACACCGCGAGCGGGCATGTCCGGAGAATAGCGCGGACACGCGTAAAAAACACACCGCGAGCATGTCGGAGTCGGAGAATAGCGTGGACACAAGCTACACACCGCGAGCGGGCATGTCGGAGAATAGCGCGGACACGAGCTACACACCGCGAGCGGGCATGTCTGGAGAATAGCACGGACACGCGAGCGGGCTGCAGGCACCCAACAGATTGTTTGACTATCAATAATCCCTCACATCACTCATTTTTTTTAATTATTGTATAGGTGAAAACAGACTTAAGGAACAGGCTCCAGGGGTAGGCTACTATTTAGCAGCATATGCTCAGCATCAGGGGTGTTTGTTGTTTGGACAGACCTGCCCCCACTGCTAAAAAAAGTCATCAAGGAAACACTAACTCTTCTCATTTGAACTTTTCTGAAACATTAACCAAGATGGCCTAGTATTGTTGTTGATAAGAGTCTGTGTTGTCTCGTTTTAATTCAAGTTAACATAATCTGACTGAGGAATCTTAGACAAGTAAATATTGTAACTGTGGTCAAATGTAAATTAACTGGTGCCTATTTAACTTTATTCAAAAATTATTATTTAATTCTGCAATTTTCCTTCATTAGCGATTATCAATATGATTACACAGATATTAATTAAACTAAACAGCTATCTCTGAATTCAATAATGACATGCCTTTAACTGAAAATTGAATGTTTAATCTTATTATTATACATTACTGACTCTCTATCCTCCAATTTGATACTGTTAAGTGCTTTTTTGTTACAGTAGGCCTATATTTTAATCTTTGATAACAGTAGGTAATAAAAATACATCATGTTAGCTCTGGTCCAATTAAAAAATATAAACAAATAGAACTCAGGACATTTTTGTTCGTGTAAAATATACCTCATTGTCATGTTCTAGACTTGTTATATTTAGCTTTAAATTAAAAAAATACCCCCTTAACATTGTGGCAGCTTTTTCTCCGTGGTATCGAAAATGGTATCGAATATCGATATTTTTCAAGGTATCGTATCAAAGTTAGTAATTCTAGTATCGTGACAACACTAATGCACATAAATCTTTCCCATTGGTGGCAAATGTTTCAACTATGTACCAAGATTTCAACGTCTGGAGTTTTCAAATGTAATATGTATTAATACGTGTTACGTGTTAATATTCGTGTTAAAAGTCTAAACTGTTAACCAATAATCATGTGTGCTTACATCAAGTCTTAAAGTGACACTCCCATCAAATCAGTATTCAAACGAGAGGGTCAAAAACAGGATGGAAAATGACGTATTGCTTCTAAATTATGGGTTGTTGTTTTTAATGTAAAAATCTTGATAACCTTATGTGGACTTTTTTTTTTTTTAAATGCAGTTTATGAACCCCTTTTTTAGAGACTACAGTACAAAAAAAAACATTTCTATATTTGATATGTTATGGTAGCTATTTCATAATGTCTAAATATAAATTCAAAAGCAAAATGTGTAAATTTGCCACAGTGTTAGTTTTCCTACATCTTGAAACTTTGTAACTAAGTGTTACACATGGGAACAAATGTCAAAGGATGCACAAATGTTTTTGGTTATCTCATTAAAAATAACATTTGAGCTTTGAAGTGCTGGAAAAAAGTTGTGAAGCACTTTAAAAGTCCTTAAAGTGTTTGAATTTCACTCGCAAACAGTTGTAGGAACCCTGAAATGAATATTGCAAAAATATTTTAATATTTCTGCCACAATACCATGGCTACAGTTAGCGTTACTACAATGGTGAATCCATGGTGATTCGTGGATTGAAAAGCCATCTATAACTTGTTCATTCATGGCACAATGTTTCTCCTGGTTTCCATGTCAGCACCTTTTGATCTGATATGGTTTATGAAACACAATTCTCTGCTGAAATTGGACATTATTAAAGGAGAACTCCGGCGCAAAATGAACCTTTGGTCTAATTACACATTGTTACCTAGTCAACCGTTATCTGAGATTTGTTTTCATGATTATCGAATGTAAATAGTTTTATCTCTAAAAACAGTTTAGCCTGTAAAGCTAGTATAACGCTAGTATATTGGGCATAGTGTAATGACAAATAAAAATCGCTTGTTAATACCACTAACAAGGCTGAAAATAGCCCCACACTAACACGGTAGCATAATGAGGGTCCCTACCTTCAAACCGAAGCATTGAGAACTTTGTAAGTGTACAGACAGTTTAATAAGAAGATATTTTAAACATACAGGCAGAAGCCATCTTTGAAAAACAGCCTTTACCAGTCGATCTACGAACGCCGATCCAAGTGCGCTGGTGAGATGTGAACGAGCTATAAGTTGTGATAAGGTGAGCGCGAACAGCAGGCTTGGATCGGCGTTCGTAGATCGACTGGTAAAGGCTGTATTTCAAAAATGGCTTCTGCCTGTATACGCGAAGTTGACTATGTTTAAAATATCTTCTTATTAAACTGTCTGGACACTGACAAAGTTCTCAATGCTTCGGTTTGAAGGTAGGGAGCCTCATTATGCTACCGTGTTAGTGTGGGGCTATTTTCAGCCTTGTTAGTGGTATTAACAAGCGATTTTTATTTGTCATTGATCTATGCCCAATATACTAGCGTTATACTAGCTTTACAGGCTAAACTGTTTTTAGAGATAAAACTATTTACATTCGATAATCATGAAAACAAATCTCAGATAACGGTTGACTAGGTAACAATGTGTAATTAGACCAAAGGTTCATTTTGCGCCGGAGTTCTCCTTTAATACTTTGTTAATACTGTGGCAAGTTCAAGCACTTACTCACTTGGTCTCCCAGCGCTGTGTACTAACGGTGTCACATGATCGAGATCGGCCCATGAGTAAACCTGTTCTGCGCTTTTGTCTATTATTGGTCTGATTTGATCGCCGGTTTCTTTCTGGTTTCGTTTGTTTCTCATATGCAACAGAAACGGCAGCTGTTATCATTTGGGCAACATGGTGGTGGTACCGGTCGCACCGGTGGGAAAAAGGTTGCAAAATGCGACCGTTTAGTCACAGTCTGGAGCCCTGAAATATACAGTGTACAGCGAGCCAAGAAACAATGTCACTCATTGTCATTTACTAAATTTCAGATGGAATCTCCCTCTGATGATCTGGTTCTGATGTTTCCAAAGCCTTCAACGGGTCTGAAGAGAGCAAAGAGAGGTTGGGTTATTCCTCCATTTAATATAGGTGAGAATAGCAGAGGTCCTTTCCCAGAGAAAATGCACCAGGTGAGAGAAAGTCATGAAGGGAAAGTTCAAAATTAGATGATCGAGAGAGGTTTGTCTGGTGTTGACTTTGTTCTCTTATTGATTTCTGTATTTAGATAAAGTCGGACTATTCTAAGGAAATTCAGATGCACTACAGTATCACAGGTGAAGGAGCGGATCTGGATCCTAAGGGGACTTTCACTATAGAAAGATTAACAGGGAATCTGTTTGTGACTCGACCACTCGACAGAGAAATAAAAGCTTCATACAGAGTAAGATGATTTTAGGTCTAACTTTTAAAATCAGCAGATGGTTCTTGGTGTATTAATGTTAGATTTTTTGCTCATTCTTAATTGTTTGAAAGCTGTCATAGGTTAATCAGATAAAAAGGCTCTATGAAATGACTTTGCGTGTTTTGCAGAGAGCATTCGTATATCCACTAAAACATGCCTGTATTTCTTCTCGTCTTTAGCTTATGGCTTATGCTGTTGCAGTTGGTGCGGATATCAAGGAAACTCCAATGGAAATTATTGTAAATGTGATGGACCAAAATGATAATAAGCCTGTTTTTACACAAAATCCATTCAATGGAAATGTTGCTGAAGCTTCTCTTATAGGTAGGTGTATGATGCCGTTTCTCAATGAAATGGTTTTTAGCAGTTTTATATTTTTCAAATGCCTCTTCAGTTTTACCACCGAATCAGTCTTTATTCTTCTCTCACTGAAGGTCATGAGTTTATGACAGTCACAGCCACTGATGCAGATGATCCAGACACTTACAATGGTGTTGTCAGTTACGCAATCGTCAAGCAAGATCCAGAATTGCCAAAACCAGACCTGTTTATAATCAACCCTGTTACCGGAGGAATTCGTGTGAATGCTTTAGGCTTGGACAAAGAGGTGAGAAATGATGAATGGATCTCGCAGTGGCGAAGAATGATTTCATGTAAACAAACTCACCTGAAAACATCTTCTCTTTCAGAAATGGTCCAGATATACTGTGTTAATTACGGCGACTGACCTGGAAGGAAGAGGTTATGGATCCACCGGCACAGCTGTTATTACTGTGACTGACAGCAATGATAACGCACCTCAGTTTGTGCAAACCTCGGTAATATATATAAATAAATTCAGGCTGTTATAAGCATTTTAATACTTTATTAATACTTATTTACACCATTCATCTCTTTGTTTTAGCACACTGTATCTGTCCCAGAGAATAAAGTAGAGGCTGAAGTGGCCAGACTTACAGTTACTGATGGAGATGAAGAGGGATCTCCTGCCTGGTCAACCAAATATAAGATTATTGACGGTGACAAGAGTGGGTTTTTCAGTGTCAGTACTGGACCCAGCCAGCTAGAGGGCATCATCACCACTGTAAAGGTACTGTGTGTTGCTTGTGTTTGTACAGGCAATTGGTTGTGATCATGTTCCTTTAGTAAAAGACACTTTCTTTTCCATTCAGCCCCTGGACTTTGAGAAGAACAAGCAATTCATTCTGTCTGTGATTGTTGAGAACGATGATCCATTTGTCGGTTCTTTGGCCACTTCCACTGCCACAGTCACGGTGAATGTAGAAGATGTGAATGAGCCTCCGGAGTTTAATCCAAAGGAGAAGGTTATCTTCAAACCTGAAAATGCACCAGTTGATAGTGAATTGGTTACTTATAAAGCCACTGATCCAGACACTGCAAAAGCACAGAAGATAACGTAAGAAATGTTGCAATTCATTTTATCCCCTCAAAGACAATCAAACCACTAAAGTTTTATTCAATTTTAAAATTCTGACTGCTTTCTCTAGAGCAATGGTTCTCAAGGGGGGTGAAAATAGTTTTTAAGAAAAAACAGACATTACTGTGTGTATTTTATTGTGCTTCAAGCTGATGAATACATAAAAAAAACACTGCTCTGCATAAAAAAACCCAGCTGGCTCTCCAGAGGTCAGGTTTTACATCGCTTCTACGAATGGGCTATATGCACGCATAACTTCCGCGTTTGACGCAAGGATGCTCTTGCGTTTCCGGTTGGGGAGATTTAAAGCGGAGGAAAACGGGATTATGGCAGAGTCTTCAAAATGTACCGTCCTCTCGTCTTTGAAACGAAACTTTAATACGTTTAGATGTAATTTTATATATAGTTATGTTTATTTAATATAATAAACAAAGAAGCATAAACAAAATGAGGGGTGTCTGTTTTGTCTGTTTTTGTGACTAACGTTTCTTTAGTATAGCAATAGAGTATAAAAACCAATATAATTTCTCGGTATAGCATTGGACTCTACGATCGGCGGAAGTAATCCAGCATCCTTAGACCTTCACCGGAAATACCGCCGTGCATAGAGCCCATTGCAGCCCACTGTCCAAAGTCAGTGCATTCGTTGGCAAATTGGATCTTTGTCGTGATCGGCTGATTAATAAAAATGTTGCATGTTTCCCAACTTCGCTGATTATATGCAAGAGTCAGGGATAAATGTATCTTTCCTTTGATTAACACAGCCGCTCAACATGTTGAAGGACTGAAACAACTCGGCCATATTTCAGTTGATTTGCTTGGGTCAGAGATCCCTTCAGTTGCCCAGGAAAAGGCATTTCAGTTGACATGGAGAAATTAGTCAATTTAAAGATTGCAACTAGATTGCAACACCTCAATAGCCAATGCTCTCTGGATGCTCTCTCTTAATATCCTCAGTTAAATTACTATTACTACTACTATTCACATCAACTTCTCTGCGAGGCTGGGTTTTCAAAATTTACTGTCTTAAAGGGATACTCCACTTTTTTTGGAAATAGGCTCATTTTAGAGTTAGAGTTAACAGAGTTAAACTGTTGAGTTTTACCTTTTTTTTAATCCATTCAGCCGGTCTCTGGTTCTGGCGGTACCACTTTTAGCATAGCTTAGCATACATCATTGAAGTGGACAAGACCATTAGCATTTCTAAAAAAAAAATGACCAAAGAGTTTTGATATTTTTCCTATTTAAAACTTGACTCTTCTGTAGTTACATCGTGCACTAAGACCGACGGAAAATCTAATGTTGCGATTTTCTAGGCTGATATGGCTAGGAACTATACTCTCATTCCTGCGTAATAATCAAGAAACTTTACTGCCGTACCATGAGTGCAGCAGGCATAATATGACGCAGCGCCTGAAAATAGTTCCGTTGTGTTGACATTTTTTTTTTGAAATGCTAATGGTCTTGTCCACTTCAATGATGTATGCTAAGCTATGCTAAAAGTGGTACCGCTAGAACCGGAGATCGGCTGAATGGATTAAAAACGGTTTAAAGGGATACTCCACTTTTTTTGGAAATAGGCTCAGTTTACAACTCCCCCAGAGTTAAACTGTTGAGTTTTACCAAGTATCCCACAGAAATCGGCTCCATGTGGAGGCTGACATAAGGCTTGCGCTGTCCAATACTGAAAAGTGTAAAAGTGCCTCATGATGGGGAGGCTTGGGGGGTTTATGTTCGAAAAGGTTGAGATCCTCTGGTTTGCTAAAAGATCTGAATCTCTAGAGCAATGTCCACAGACAAATCTAAAAACCACCTTAGCAACTGTCTACCTATTAAGGCCTAAATCCCTTCCAATGTGAAATCTTCATACACAGAATTCAAATCATAGCATGCCTGCATATCCTTCGAACTTCAAATGTTTTTAAACTTCCAGGCCAGATTTAAGTTGTTCTTGCTGAACATTTCTAGTTTTAACCTGTTTGGTTCCTTCCAGGTATAAGATTGGCAGTGATCCTGCCGGCTGGCTGAGTGTTGCTCCAGACACTGGAGTTATTAAAGTCAAGAGCCTCATGGATAGAGAATCTCCCTCAGTCAAAGATGGCAAATACAGAGCTATCATTTTGGCGTTGGATAATGATGGTAATTTGTGTTTTCTTTTTAAGAGGATAATTCTTGCTGGCCTTTTTCTGATGTCTGTGCTTGTGTGCAGGTGACGCTCCAGCAACTGGCACAGGAACCCTGGTTATTGAATTGGAGGATGTAAATGACAACGCTCCTGTCATCAATGAAAGGAATATACGAATGTGCAATCGTGGTTCAGCCCCAGTGCTTCTCTCTATATCGGACAAAGATGGACCTTCTTTCGCTGGTCCTTTTAGAGTTGAGACCCACGGAGAAACCAGTAAAAATTGGTCCACCTCGATGAATGGCACATGTGAGCAATTACTAATGTTTTAAAGAGAAATTAATCATTCTTTCATACACTACACAATGAAATATCTGGCTGTTTTGCTATACATGTCTAACTATTATAATGTGCCCATTTTAGCAACGGGTGTCTTTCTGACACCAAAGTCTGCATTGGAGCAGGGTGACTACAATGTTGTCCTGAAAGTTATTGATCAAGCTGGGTTGGATCAGGAAAGCACCATTCAAGCAACTGTGTGTAACTGCGAAGGAGAAGACGTGCAATGTGCTGACATACGGGTCGCAGGAATGCCACTATCTGGAGTTCTGGGAATCCTGGGAGGAATCTTGCTTCTGCTGTGTATGTAATTTCTCCCATGCATTTGTGTGTGTGCTTGTAGATGGTCTTCCAAATTTTGTATGCATACACAGGGCTCCAGACTAACTTTTCCACTGGTTGCACTGGTGCTACCAACTTTCTCAGTTGGTCGCACCAGCATATGATTTGGTCGCACCTTTTTTTTTTTTTTTTTGCTACATGCCATGGGATTAATCAATGCATGCTGATGAATAGTGGTTTAATGGACCAAGGCTAGCAAAGGCTTTCTGGGTTGCAGCAGAAATACCTGTAATATATTAATTATCATTGCCAAATTTCAGGATTTTCATGGATTTTGGACAGTAATTTTAATCTGTAATTTTAAGCATTTTAAATTTGAATTATATACAATCTATTTACATTTGAATCATATTCTATCTATCTGTCTATTATCATCATTCTATCTTTTAAAAATCATTAAACATTCAAATATATGCATTACATTTTAAAAGATTAGAGTATTATAATAAACTGATACAGATTTTTCGTTATCAAAGTTTATAGTTGTAACAAAAAGCAGAAATCTCACACTCCTTACCTTCTGCATTTTATAATAATTTCCTTTTCCTCTGTCGAGCGATCATGAGAGTAATCGCACGACAGAGGAAAATATAACCGCTGAAAAGACGTAGGAAGGGGCTCTGTGTTTCGTGAGACCATTTTTATATGCCTTAATTCGTGAATTCGTAATTGGCGCGTTTCACCATCAGTGTGCAATGCGCGTGACGTCTACGTTCGTCAATAAATAAACGGCACGTGTCTTGCGGAAGAACATTGTAGACGGATCTTCTCTCCGTTAATGTCTATGGCGAGTCACGCAGGCACTGGGCTACTCCGCAGCCGAGACGACCCCGGGATAAAATATTCTGAATCACTACGGTACGCCTATAATATGTGTTTATAAGTCAAAAACACGGTTTGGAAAATGGATTCATGATGTAGCCTACTCGTTCATTTTGAACATAAGTTACGGCCTGCAGCAGCTGATACAACGGCGTTCTGTTGCTCAAGCGTCCACTCGCACATATGCGACCACATAACATTTTAACTCGCACATTCTCAAAAAATGGTTGCATGTGCGACCAATTTGGTCGCAGTCTGGAACCCTGATACAGAAAGTTCAGTGTTTCCCACAGGATAGAACGTTGTAGATGTTCAAAGATAAATTCAGCAATCTATCACTTTGAGACTTCAAAATCAAGAGCTCCAACCCAATTCAGTGTGCAGATTGAACAAAGAAAAAAAAGTCTGCCGTCAAACCAAAAAACGTGATAAGGTTCAGGTTCAAGTCACAATGGCGCAAAACACAACCTTAAAGATGTTATTTTGAGAAGTTAAAATATATTTTCTGGCCGCCACAGTCTAGTTAATGAATGGGAAGCACTGGAATCTATTTGTGGAGGTCAGTGTTGATATTGTGGCGAGCCACCACAGAGAAGTCCACGTATGGGAGAAACTGTACATTATACTGCAGAAAAGGAGTCTCATTGCTAGCAAGTTTTTCCAAACATATTCACTCTTTAAATTGAACTCCTATAAGATCAATAGCAATCTAATTGTCCTTGACCTCTTTAGAGTCCCTATTCAATCATTCCTAGTTCATTATTACTGCTGAATCCTTTAGGTTTGCTGTGTTAAGTAAGTTGTGCTTCTTATACCACCACAGTGCTCGCTCTTCTTCTGCTCTTGTTCATGAGGAGGAAAAGTAGTACCAAAAAAGAACCCCTCCTTCCTGAAGATGATATAAGGGACAACATCTACTATTATGATGAGGAAGGCGGTGGAGAAGATGATCAGGTTGGTTTTATTTTAAAATACTTTAAGGTGGTTTATCAGTTTTTATGGCTGAGTTTATTGGTAATTGGTTCATTGGTAACTGGAAATTGACAGTCAAACTTGCTGTTACCTGGCTTTTGCACAATCAACATGTCTTTTTAATTACCATCTTTTGCAGTATAAGCATTTGTGAACCTCTAAATTAACGGGGTGCCCTCAGAAAGCACTTATGGGGCCTAATTCAAGGTCCAGTGATTCACTACCTGAATCGCTGTGGTGCTCGCACTAAAACATTAAGGACCCGCAGGGACTCTGATCCTTGTGTAAAGACAGTCTATTCATCGAATTTAAGGCCATAACAACTTGTACCATGATATATAAGTGGTACAAGAAATGTCTTTCTTTCAGGAGATCTTAAATTTGGAAACTGAAAAAGGAATCGTGAAATAGCTTAATGTAATTGCTTTTTAAACTTCAAAAGGCAACGATTTCATTGTAAATGAGAGCACTGCACGTTTCAAATTATCACGTGTTCACCTGCCCTTCCAATCTTAATGGCAAATGAACTTTGTTTGAGGCTCGACTTGAGCTCTGAACACAATCAAAGGTTCTTAGTAGAGAAAAAATGGGGGAAATGGAGGGAGAGATGTGGAGGTGGAGGAATGCTTGAATTTCCTCTGGAGCGGCATAATGACTGCTTGTATACACCGATGAGCCAAAACTTTGACCACCGGTCTAATATGCTGTTCTTTCTCGTGCTGCCAAAACCACACCGACCTGCCAAGGCATGGACTCTAGTATCTGGCACTAAGACATTAGCAGCCGATCCTTCCGATCTTGTAGGTTGTGAGGTAGAGCCACCGTGGATTAAACTTGTTGGTCCTGCTCATCCCACAGATGCTCAATTGGATTGATATCTGGGGAATTTGGAGGACAGGGCAACACCTTGAACTCATGTTTCTCAAACCATTCCTGAACAATGTGGAAGAATGAGACATCATCCTGCCGAAGGAGGCCTTTTCCACCAGGGAACAGTGTCAGAAAGGGCTGTATCTGGTCTGTAGTAATGTTGTTTAGGTAGGTGGCTCGTGCCAAATGTGTTTTCCAGCAGAACATTGCTCAGAGCATCTCGCTCTCTATTGGCTTGTTGCCACCGTGGATCCCATTGCCATCACTTCCCCAGATCAACAGCGCACCCGTACATGGCCTCCACATGATGCAATAGGGGACTCAATTGGATTGATATCTGGGGAATTTGGAGGCCAGGGCAACACCTTGAACTCATGTTTCTCCAACCATTCCTGAACAGTGTGGCAGGGTACATTAGTCTGTTGGAGGCCACTTCTACCAGGGAACGCTGTCAGGAAGGGCTGTACCTGGTCTGCAACAATGTTTAGGTTGTTGCCATATCAAATTTTCGCCACATGAATGGCCGGACCCAGTGTTTCCCAGCAGAGTTTGATGCCATGAGACATTCCTCACATAATACATTTTTTTGACTTGTACCACAGTAGACTTTCTGTTGGTTCAGACCATTCGTTGCCCTTGTCCATTGATGAGCCTTGGAGCGCCCAAGACCCTGTTTTGCCGGTTTGTGGTTTGTCCCTCCTCGGACCACTGGTAAATCCTCACCACTGCTGACTGGGAGCAACCCACAAGCCTTGCCGTTTTAGAGATACTCTTGACCCATTTGGCCCTTGTCAAAGTTTCTTTATTTGTTGCCCATTTTTTTCTGCATCATGATTGAGAACTTACTCTTTGCTTACCATCTAATTTGTTCAGACCTTAATATGTGGACTTGTTAAGATATGATCAATGATCTTTGCTTTGCCTGTGACTGGTCAAAAGTTTTTGGCTCATTGGTGTAAGCTTGTGGTGATTGACAGGACTGAACGATTGGGTCCTCCCAAGCTCATGTTTGGAACTTTAGTTATACCAGGAGATTGCCTAATTGTGACTCGTCTCTCTTAAGAAAATGTTTAAAGGCTGAAATGTGAGGTTAAGTGTTTTATAAAACTTTCTTTGCTAAAACCTGACCCAATGGCCGTCTTGCCATTTGCATCACACACAATACAAGATCATGTGGTGATAAGTGTCTGTGACTGCTTAAGCCTGGCTCAGATCACGATCACTTAACTAGCATTGTTGACCGTAACGAGCTCCAAATTGGCTGTGATCCAGGGTTTTGCTGCAGAGCTTGGAAGTTTATTTGTAACTGTGAAATCCAGCCAAAAGTCATGTAGTCTGAGTTTGCCTTGAGTCTGATTTTAGTGAATGCATAGCTTTAGATTGCTTGCATCAATTTGAGGTTCTGACTACGTTAATTGCTCAGTTTTATTTAATTTGAATCATTCATTCAACCAGATAAAAAAAAAAAAAATCAATGACTCTCATAAAGACTTCACTTGATTAATTACTGGATGAATCTGCAATTTTGAATGATTCCATTACATTTAAGTCACTTCACTCCACCTACTGGTGTAACAATGTAATTGATAGAATATTAATTTGAAGCATCAAGTTACTTTCAAAAGGTACAGTGAAAACGCTACCGTAGGCATCAGTGTTTATATACGAGCTATAAACATTTATCCCAGTACTTCTGTGATTTAATCTGAATTATTGCATTAAATAAGGCTACTGTGTGGTTGAAAAGACTTTGTGAAGTTGTTTGATACCTATACATAAATGATCTTTACAATAGTTTAATAGGCCTAGCGAATCATTGCCATTTTAAGAATAAGATCATGTGGGTGTTTGAATAGATATCGTGATCTTAACGATTAATCGTGCAGCTGTAGTTTGCAGAGCTCCACTCGCATTGACTCTTGTCTAATGAATGAGCATTATAAAAAGGAAATGTAGTAACCCAGAAGTCAGCATGAACAGTATTAGTGTGAATGCTTGATGCATACCTGCGGTTGCAGTTACGCCCCAGACAGCAACATGGTGTCGGCCCACATCTGGTACGCATGGTTTCCACACAGCCCAGATGTGGGCCGGATCTGTAGCTGAGCTGATCTGATCTCTGGCTGATGTTAATGTGCTGTGAATGTAATTGCATACTGACCAACTGTCTGCTGCCATGTAGTAAATGGTTTTGCTGTTTGCTGTACTTTAATATCAAACACACTTTCTACGCAGGACTTTGATTTGAGCGTGCTGCATCGAGGCTTGGACAACAGACCTGAAGTGTTCAGAAACGACGTGGCGCCCACTTACATGACGGCACCTCAGTTTAGACCCCGACCCTCCAACCCTGATGAGATTGGCACATTCATTGATGATGTAAGTGATTTCAGACTGATCTCATGAAATGGCGTATGTATGACACGCCAATTCGTATTTCCATTTTTGGCGTGCTATCAACACGCATAATCGCTTTTCAGCGTGTTTATCAACGCCTTTGACTTAACGTTATATTACTGTATTATGTATATATAATATATGACCTACCCCAACCCCGTCCCTAAACCTACCCGTCACTGGGGTTAATACCATTTATGAGTCTTCTCCTACCATCCTAGGAAAAGAAATATCGCTCCACAGATGTAGATATAGATTTTGCTTCGTTTCGCTCGGACATTTAACGGCGTACACATACACGGGGAATCACTCGGACATTTAATGGCGTAGACATACACGCAAAAGATTTCGGCGTGGACATACACGCGGATATCTCAAAATGCGTATAGATAAAACGCCACTTGAATTGAAAGTGCCGTGTATGTTTACGCAAAGTCATGATGTCATGTTGGTGATTTTGTTAAACCTCAATTAAGAGATTTCCTTTTAAAGCAAGGTCGAAGTATTAGAGATGCACTGATGTATCGGCCAATAATCGGTATCGGCCAATTAAAGCTAATATTTTCGCCATCGGCCGATTGTTTAAAAAACGCAGATGATCAGTGCCGATTATATTCGGTCAATCAAAAGAGTGCGGAAAAATGTGTCAGACTGCAACTCTTACTGTGTGTGAAGAAACGGCTCTGGGTCATTCATAAAATTGCGTGTTTACTCTGCACTCTTTACAAATGTCTTCAAATTGGAGTGATTCCGAAACTAAAGCGTTTCTCCTCGTCCGGGCGTATGAAGAGATTTGTCAACACCTTGGAGGAACAGTTAGCGATACTGTCATGTATGATTAAAATGTATAGAGAGCCTAAGCCCCTCCCCTCCGCTTCCGGCTCATGGGACCTTATTTCGGAAAAAAAGATGTATGGTAGTCAATGGCGAGAGACAACTTATCTTTTTATTCCGTCTGAACTGTGCCCTGAATTACACATGATGTTTGTCAATTTAAAAGATAATTCTGAAAGTCGCAGTTTGTCATAACAGAAGAGTAACATTGAGCGATTTTCACATAAAACTAAATGAACTACATCTCCCGGGAAGCGAAACAACGAGCAAGATCCGCTGCTCGTGTGTGTGCAGTCTCAGGCATGACGGCGTAACGTTACGATTATAACGTAAGACTATAGAAACAATGACAGACGTTAGCTTCAGTAAAGTTAGCTTCATTCATTGAGAGAAAATGTGCGCCTTTTGGGTTTGTAGTCTTTGTAATTCCGTATTTTCACAGTCTTATACCTCAACAGTTTTACATCAAACTGTGCGACTTTCTTGACTTTAAAATGTACCTTTTAAATTGACAAACATCATGTGTGTAATTCAGGGCACAATTCAAACGAGATCAAAATATTTGTTGTCTCTCGCCATTGACTACCATACAATATTTTTCCAAAATAAGGTCCCATGGTGGACGGGGAGGGACTTAGGCTCTCTAAAGCCGCCTTTGTCATTAACCGGAGGTTTATGCCTTGTTACTAGAGTTTACCGGCATTTTGGAACTGATGTGTGAATTAGGGCTGCACAATTAATCCAAATAAAATTGCATTTGATTTGACCAAGGCTGCGATTTATTTTATGCACAGCTTGTCAGTGCAGCGGCTGATCGGTAGTAAATGCTTCTCCATCTGAACACCAGAGGGCGTCACTCACACACTCACACACCAAATCCCTCTGAACACGAGTCACACACACACTCCATAGAAGTACGATAACGCGCATCATTCCAGGAAATCCCTATCGCAGTATCTGAATAAACAGAAGATTGAAACTGATTAAACATGACTAATAAACACACGACTGCCTTATTCTGTGTAAAAAGCACATCTCACAGAAGGAGCTCAACTCTTGTTATGAAGTTTGGAGTAAAAACATGTTAAATGTTGTCTTTGTTGGACAAGAGGTTCATAAATGCTTATGTTTGGAAAGCTGTTTGACGCGTGTTGCCTTTTCAAATGCGCGTTATAAGCGACTCAAACTCGCAGTGCTTTCAGAGTGAGCAGCGTTTACAGAGCCGTGCTTCACTGACAAGCTGCGCAGCCTTTACGATTTTCAAAATCGTGATAAGCCAAATCGATTCAAGTGCGATTACATGGAAATTGCGATTAATCATGCAGCCCTAGTGTGGTTGGTCCGTTACCGGTAAAAAGCCAGAACGCTGTTGCATGTGAACGGCACATTATTTTAATTTACTGTTAAAGTCATTCATTATAAAGTCGTACTATTATACGGTAATTTAGCGGGATTGCTTTGAAAGGGGCTAACAACACTGTGTGAATGGTCTGTTACCAGTAAAAAGCCAGAACGCTGTTGCACGTGTGAACTGCACCCCTGTTCACACGGTTTTTAACTTGCCGGTAAAATCGTTCTGGCTATTTTTACGGTAATTTACCGGGATTGCTGTGTGAAAAGGGCTAACGACTATTCTTTGTCCGGTAGAATCTGAATGCTGCGGATAACGACCCCACCGCGCCGCCGTACGACTCTCTCCTGGTGTTCGACTACGAAGGCGGCGGCTCAGACGCAGGTTCGATCAGCTCCCTCAACTCCTCCAGCTCAGGAGGAGACCAAGACTACGACTTCATCAATGACTGGGGCCCGCGCTTCAAGAAGCTGGCAGACATGTATGGAGGAGGAGACGATTAAGACTCTTTTTGTTTGTTTTTTTTGGTTCATTTCTCTCTCTGCAAGAGATGGTTTAAAAATGCAAAATATGAGAATTTTTATACTTTGCTTTATGGTCTGGTGATTTGAATGTTTAAAGTTGGAACTGGAAAAATAGCACTGTTCACCTGTCAACATAAAGGAAAGATGCTGAAGTGTTTTCTTGTCATGGGAGCAGTCTAGGCAGGAACGTGGCTTTTTTTTCTCCCGTAAAAGAAGCTCCCAATTGAAAAGACATTCAATATTTGTTCGGATTGCTCTGTGGGGAAGAAGCTGTAATGCAGCTCAAGATGTTTGTCCCAAAATGTTTTGCCCAGTATATTTTATGAAATGTAACAGTTATGTTTTTACAACTTCTTTGGCATTAAAGATTGATCTAAAGCATTCATTATACTGTAAATGTACTTTTTTTTTTTTTTTTTTTTTGAAAAGCACTGAATTTTCAAAAACCTTTTGTATGATATGCTGGTCTCTATTTCTGTCCTTTTCCCTCAGCTGCAAGGATATTAATTGTATCATGTATGCTTTTATTTCTTTTATATAGTTATATTGTTTTTTCAGCATTAAACTTTTACACTGATGCTTATTTCCCTTTTTTTATTAAATTACTTTTACTGTTTTTGTTTCCAAGTGTTCACTCAATAACACACTACACAAACGACACTGGCTAAATTATTATTTTTAAAGTGTGTATGAAACCATTGCAACCAACTTTATTAACTTTGCTTGAGAAAGCCAACTTACTGAAATTCTATTTAAACTTCCTTTGCAACTAAAATTCTGTAACTCCTAGAGCTTTCAAGCTAGAACCTCCAAACCCAGATCAGACTGTTCTGACTTAGTGTGCTTTATCTTTTCTAACTGGTCTGACTTGGGGTTTTCCTAAAAATTAAAAATCATAAATTTCCCATAGGCTTGCATTGATGGAATAATCAAATGAGTCAAGACTTATAAAATTCAAATTTAAACTCATAAGATTGTATCAATCTGTCATATTAATCATGCTAACAATGTGTTAACATCTTTTTAGCAACATGCTAATCATGCTAGCAACGTGTTAAATTGTTATAGCAACATGCTAGCAATGTGTTAAATCATGTTAGCAATGTGCTAATTCAAATTTGAAACATGCTAGCGGCATGAAAAAAAGTCCTATCTATCTGACATGGGGTGAAAGGTTGTAACAATTATTCTAACAAGTAACAACTACTCTTATCTATCATGCATGCCCTGAAAAGTTCAATGAAAACCACAAAAACTTGTAATTTGCTAATCTCTCTTTCTCTCCCCTCCCTAAAAATGGTTTAGTCCGATGGAACCTGCACAAATCGCAAGTCCCACCCCATCTAGTGAACAGAACCATTCAGAGTTGAGAAGAACCTTTGAAGTTCGCCTATTGTGCGACTGACTGAAAATGTCGGGATGTTTTTTGTTGGTTTGTTTTACATGCAGAAAAATGAGTGTAAGGATCGCAGATCTGCCGCTGATGTGAAATGTTTAAGGTAACAATATTGTCAAGAAAACGTGAATAACTCACTGTTCCGGATGGTAGGCTACATAAGCTTTATTTAATGAAATATTATGTTGTAGCATATTACGCTATCTTCATCAAAAATGAAAACAATATTTAAGTGGTTATTTTATATTTGCATCTTTTTCCAGAATGTTTACCTCAGCTGTTCGACACAAGACTGACTAGAAAGACAATTTAGATTATATTGCAAGTAGGCCTAATTAAAAAAGAAAATTGTTTTATTATTTTATATCTATTTATCCATCCATCCATCTCTTATCTGTCCAGCTATCTATCTATCCATCTAGTATCTGTCTATCTATCCATCCATCTCTTATGTCTATCTATCTATCCGTCCGTCCGTCTGTCTATCCATCCATCTCTTATGTCTATCTATCTATCCGTCCGTCCGTCTGTCTATCCATCCATCTCTTATCTGTCCATCTATCTATCTATCCATCTAGTATCTATCGGATGAAATATGCTAATCTATCTATCTATCTATCCATCCATCTCTTATGTCTATCTATCTATCCGTCCGTCTGTCTATCCATCCATCTCTTATGTCTATCTATCCCTCCGTCTGTCTATCTATCCATCTATCCATGAATCCATCTACAGGTCCTTCTAAAAAAATTAGCATATTGTGATAAAGTTCATTACTTTCCACAATGTAATGATAAAAATTAAACTTTCATATATTTTAGATTCATTGCACACCAACTGAAATATTTCAGGTCTTTTATTGTTTTAATACTGATGATTTTGGCATACAGCTCATGAAAACCCAAAATTCCTGTCTCAAAAAATTAGCATATTTCATCCGACCAATAAAAGAAGTGTTTTTAATACAAAAAAAAAAAAAGTCAACCTTCAAATAATTATGTTCAGTTATGCACTCAATAGTCAATTCTTGGTCGGGAATCCTTTTGCAAATGACTGCTTCAATGCGGCGTGGCATGGAGGCAATCAGCCTGTGGCACTGCTGAGGTGTTATGGAGGCCCAGGATGCTTCGATAGCGGCCTTAAGCTCATCCAGAGTGTTGGGTCTTGCATCTCTCAACTTTCTCTTCACAATATCCCACAGATTCTCTATGGGGTTCAGGTCAGGAGAGTTGGCAGGCCAATTGAGCACAGTAATACCATGGTCAGTAAACCATTTACCAGTGGTTTTGGCACTCTGAGCAGGTGCCAGGTCGTGCTGAAAAATGAAATCTTAATCTTCATATAGCTTTTCAGCAGATGGAAGCATGAAGTGCTCCAAAATCTCCTGATAGCTAGCTGCATTGACCCTGCCCTTGATAAAACACAGTGGACCAACACCAGCAGCTGACATGGCACCCCAGACCATCACTGACTGTGGGTACTTGACACTGGACTTCAGGCATTTTGGCATTTCCTTCTCCCCAGTCTTCCTCCAGACTCTGGCACCTTGATTTCCGAATGACATGCAAAACTGAGCAACAGTCCAGTGCTGCTTCTCTGTAGCCCAGGTCAGGCGCTTCTGCCGCTGTTTCTGGTTCAAAAGTGGCTTGACCTGGGGAATGCGGCACCTGTAGCCCATGTCCTGCACACGCCTGTGCACGGTGGCTCTGGATGTTTCTACTCCAGACTCAGTCCACTGCTTCCGCAGGTCCCCCAAGGTCTGGAATCGGTCCTTCTCCACAATCTTCCTCAGGGTCCGGTCACCTCTTCTCGTTGTGCAGCGTTTTTTGCCACACTTTTTCCTTCCCACAGACTTCCCACTGAGGTGCCTTGATACAGCACTCTGGGAACAGCCTATTTGTTCAGAAATTTCTTTCTGTCTTACCCTCTTGCTTGAGGGTGTCAGTGATGGCCTTCTGGACAGCAGTCAGGTCGGCAGTCTTACCCATGATTGCGGTTTGAGTAATGAAACAGGCTGGGAGTTTTTAAAAGCCTCAGGAATCTTTTGCAGGTGTTTAGAGTTAATTAGTTGATTCAGATGATTAGGTTAATAGCTCGTTTAGAGACCCTTTTCATGATATGCTAATTTTTTGAGACAGGAATTTGGGGTTTTCATGAGCTGTATGCCAAAATCATCAGTATTAAAACAATAAAAGACCTGAAATATTTCAGTTGGTGTGCAATGAATCTAAAATATATGAAAGTTTAATTTTTATCATTACATTATGGAAAATAATGAACTATATTACAATATGCTAATTTTTTTAGAAGGACCTGTTTCTATTTATTTATCTGTCTGTCTATATCTGACAGTCTATCTATCTATCGCCTTCAAAACATTCCAACTTTAAACATTAAAAATGATAAACTACTATATACTGAAAACCATCAAACTTTCTGGTCTGGCTTTCTCAAGAAAACTTCGAAGTTTGTCTTGACAAACATTTTTATCTAGTTGTATTTATGACTCATTTCTGAATTAAACTGTGGTAATGCTTTATTTTACAGTGACCTTGTTACATGTTCTATGTACTTACTATAATGAATTATGCAGAATTATTAATGTTAATCAGTAATTAATTGCATTCACATTGACACCTTAAACTGAAGTGTAACTGAAACTGCTCAATTTTTGACATGACTCAATTGTATTCATTGGTTGTTGACTGTCAGTCAGTCTCATAACAGGATTATGATATTCTGATTAACCCTTTGATGCACAACATGGGTCTAAATAGACCCGACTGAGTTTTCATTTTCTATATCTTTGCAAAAAATTCATTTCATCATTCAGTATTCCAGGTATTCCTCAATTAACTTGTTTTAGATCATTACAAATCCTTATTTAAATTTTTTCTTTCTTACTTTTCGAATAAAAATCGTTTTTGTATCACTACCCTTCTAATGCGCAACATGGGTCTAAAAAGACCCGTGTTCATGTTTCTTTGCTGAATATTTGAAAGAAATGTATTTTATCATTTATTAATCCAGGTATTCATTAAATATCTTGTTTTTGATTTCCACAAATCATTATGTTTATTTTTCCTTTCTTACTTTATAAACAAACACGTTTTTTGTATTTCTACATCAATTTTACACACATGGGTAAAAAATTACCCATATAGGAACCTTTGAAATTTATAAATAGTATAAATATATTTACTGCAGAAAACTATTTATCTGCCACACATTTCACAATTCAACAGGGCTGCTTTTGTATATTTCATGCATGTAAGTTTTATTTAATAAATTTTTTGTCACAGAGAAAATATTTGATATTTTGTGAAAGACATCTAGATATGACCTAATATTTGAACGTTTAGGCTAAGGTTACCTTGACCTTGAAATCCATTACTAGTGCAAAAGAAAAAAATGTCCAATACTATTAGCTAGCTTGCGGTCGACATATTCTATTTTATCTAATAGCTAGGTCAACAAAATAAAAGTTGCAATAGAAAGTTATATATACAAGTATATATTGTCGCTGTTGGGCAGAAACCTTGTACCTCCATATTCATTTTTATTTGTGGTCATAAATCAATGCTATCGGTCACATAAGCCGTCGCGTGGTGGCGTTCAGGTGCACTATGGCTGCTGTCGCATCATCCGGGTGGATGCTGCACATTGGTGGTGGGGAGTTCAATGGTGGCGGGGAGATCCCTACAGTT